ATTATTTACTTAATAATATAATTAAAGTATTAGCTATAGCTAAATATTTACTTAATAATATATAGTTAAAGTTAATTTATATTCTCTTTAATATATTAATAAACTTACTTTTATATTATAACTTAAAAAAACTGTTATTAAAATACTAGGGTAAAAAATAGTAAATCGAAAATATCCTCTATAGGCAGGTTAATATAAAAGCTCCTACTATGCCTTAGTTCTTTTAACGCCGTTTCGATCTTGTCTCTCCAAGGCCCCTCGAGAATACCGACTTGGGCTTCCACCCATTTGCGTTATACGTGGACGCTCTATAGGTTCTCTCACCTGCCGGCACTCCAGCACACGGAGAGAAGGTGTGCCAAACCTTCTGCAAGAACGTGTACTTCTTTTCAGTCGGCTTGGGCTGAGGGATCGGCTTTGGATTAAGGCCCTGGACAAACTCGTGGACAGCTTCCTCTAACCTATATCCGACTTTTTCCTGCCACCACCTCGCCTCTTGAGATGCGAGATCCGACTTCTCTTGCTCTACCTCAACCTCATTCAAGTCTATAGAAGAGTCGAGTGGTTCGGGTACCCGGAAAGCGGAGGCGTCGAGATCCGGCTGAATGTTAGATCCTGCTTGATTCGCATCAACCTCCTCAGGATCGACTAGATGGAGAATCTCAGACAGGGAGATTATACTCTCGACTTCGCCATCGCCACCCTGATTTGATAGATTAGCCATTGCACGAGTAAGATCCGTACGGTCTTGGACATGCATGTCCCTTGGTACTTACATTCCGCGGCACTTGATTCTCCCCCTCCCCCTCGTCGGGCACGTCGGGCAGCTCAGATGAGTCGAGCCGTCCACGTCTATTGTCTGGCGGGCGTGGGGGGCCCCTTAACCCGGAGTCTGGTACCACGTCCTGGTTGGGAAATGTTCCACCGGGATCATCCAAATTAATAGGGTCATTCCTGCAGTACCGGTACAGATTAGGCCCATCTACAGGCCCAAGAGGGTCTGTAGATATCCATCGACAGAGCCACGGAGCATAGAATCGAGCATTGCAGTACGAGAGCCCAGTCTCGACATCCCTCTCATAAGAGGCAAAGCGGTACCGCCTGGGGGCTTCAATCTCGGCGCCGCAAGCCATCAGGGTAGTGCTGCCAAAGGCAGAGTATTCTTCGTATGAGACGCGCTCGCCATTGTCGTCTGTCTCTATATTACGGCCAGTCTGGAACCGCACGAGCGGAGTGGCCGGGGCGTTGTCGGTTGACTCTACCAGAGCAATCTCTAGCCCCTCAGCATGCACGACACCTGTTGTGCGAACAGAAGTTCCCGACACGCCTCCGTTGTACGTGTAGACCTCGACGTTTTCGGAGTAGACCGTATCCTTCAGTATCATCATGCTCTGGCCCTTGAGCTTCTCTGTGACCTTTCGTACACGGGTCCCGGTGTAGTCATATATATTCCAGGTGACCTCGTTGCCACCCTTCTGCCTGGAGGATGAACGAAGCCGACCATCAAAGTCCCATGTCATGTCATAGTAGCCTGACATAGACGTAATGCACCCAACTCTGCCCGCCTCGCCATCGTAGCCGCAATGGGTCTCTCGCCCGTCCACGATAGTTGAAGTTAGTCTGTTACTATTGGCCTTGACGTCCAAGCAGCTGGGAGCTTTCTTTTCGTCGTACACGAAACTCTTGGTCCATGTTCGTACCACTTGCTTGTCGACACCTTCGTGCTTCATCTCGCTCATGTTACCACATAGATCGTACTTGTAACGTTCCACGTACTCGGTCATGGAAGCAGGGTTGTTTTCTTCCATGCCACATTTCTGCTTTGGCTCGTTACTATAGGGGTTGAAGCCCCCGGGACTGATCTGCTCTCTCGATCTTGTTTGGACAAGTTGTCCCAGCCAATCGTACTCGTACTCCGCCACGGGCTCGATAACAAGATTACTATAATAGGTTATGTGCTGACATCTGTCCTCAGTCCTGATGATGCGTCCAACGCAGTCGTGCGTGAATGAAAGGTCCTGGAGTAGCTGTTGTCCTTTCTTTCCCCTTCGAGTTGACTTTTGTCGGATTAATCTCTGGGTCAATGCGTCGTACTCATACATCGTCATGGTCCCATTGCTATACTCCAGCTTGGTCGGTTCGAGGAATGCCGAATAGGTGGCAGACTTTAGATATATCGACTGAACTCCCGAAGCCTGAGACTTCCATGCTAGCGACTCAATCCTACCGGCCGCGTTGTAAACCATTAACGACTGGTTTCCAGCAAAGTCCGTGGTTGCTACGGGTGCACCTATGGCGTTGAATATTGAGCTAGATACCTCCGGCGGCAGCAGGAGAATCTCGTCCGGCTTGGCCCAATCGAGGTCAGTCTTGTAGGCCTTGGCAAGTCTCCGCGTGTACAAGACGACATTTCCATAGATATCATACTCATCGAAAGTATGTAGTCCGGCTTGGTCCCTGACCGACACAAGCTGGCGCCGTAGATTCAACTTCTGGCCGTCCTTGCCGGCGTCTCCATATTCGAACTTGGTCACCAAAGTCTCCGAGCCTTGCCCTTGACGAACCCATATCTGCACCTTTCGTCGCAGCTGGTCAAACACGGTGCGGGTTCTCAGCTCACGGCTATTGGAGCTATAAAGAACTTGTCCCTGGCAGTCTAGTAAGGACCACGTCTCACCTGCGTCCATGGACCCCTTATACACACTGCCACCCAGCAGATCGTAGCTGTTTCGAGCTGCCAGCCTCTTCATGGGATCCCAACTTTCTACGCAGTTGCCGTTGAGGTCATAGAAAAACGACTCAGAGACAATTGTGTCACCATTTCGAGTGGTAGAGACAATTTTATGCCCCAAGGGATCAACGTATAAGGTGTTTGGCGTGTTGTGATATACCATTGACTTATGAGCAGCATCTATCTTCTCTTTGGCTTCGGAGGCAGAGTTAGTCTTAAGCCACGAGCCTTTGTGTAATGAAGGCTCAAGGTGAGAGAAGAAGATTCCAACATCCGGGTCCTCCGAAGGCTGGCCGAATCCAACTGTATCACCTGCGTCAAACGACACAGTTCGCCACGGGTGAAATTGCGCCTTAGTCCAGCAATGGTCAGGGTCGAGGGATGCGACTTTCCTGCCTAGCGCGTCATAGAAAGATATCGTGAATGTAGTATCTAGCTCCGAAGCTGGTTTGAAGTCTGGAGAATTCGTAAACTCGTCATGGTAGCTGCGCATGATATTACCGTCGCCGTCGAGCGTACGCCGACTTGCTTTCCAGTTCAAAGACGGGCCACCGTAGTCAGCTGCTTCAAACTCGGAGATGGGCTTTCTAGCTCCAGATAGGTACTGAATTTGGACCGCAATCTTCTCTGAAGGACCCTTGCGAAACGTGTCTTGGCGGACAATGCGGATTATGGAGGCCGGTGATACGCGGTCTGAAGACGCCTTCTCTCGGACGTATTGGTTTACATCATAGATAGTCCGACTTCCAGCCTTTCCGAGGAGGGCCCTGGCCGTCTCTGCTCCGGACATTGTCTTGAGTGCAGCTATATCGTTGTCGGAGACTACATCCAGGAACCCCTCAAGACTATCCCCAACGTCTTGCCCCATCTTTCCCATCTGCGCATGACAGAGCTCCTCTCCAAACGCACCTAGACGCACACGTTGATGGTTTAGGTTGTGATCTTGAGTTTCCACCGGTCGAAGGTGCCGGTAGCCGTTGATGAACGACGTGACACTGCCCATTGAGTCGGTTACATTGTTCGGTAGTAGAAAATATTCATCAAAGACCGTCGTGGATTCGTTGCCGAACGGATCAACGACTGTATTTGGAACATAGAATGAGGCACGGGCACTCTTGAGCGATGAATCTTTAGTACCTCGGGGATGAACCCTAGCCGCGCTTCGTCTGGCCCACCAGGATCCATCTGAATCGAGCTTCGTGTATCCTGCAGCCGTCTGCACGTCGCTTGGCTTTTCCACTCCTACATGAGCACATACCCCGGCTGCCATGGAGGCTGTGTGCGCAAGGTCATACTGCTGATACTCGATCGAACACAGCTCCAGCTTGCCCTGTTCTAGGCAAACGAGGGGATCGTCGGAGCTGTACAGGATGCGAGACTCGCCGAGAAGTACTCGCGCGTTATGACCTGTCGCTTCCATCTCCAGAAGCATCCCGGTCAATGGGCTATCTTGCAGGACCGGGAACATGTCGTGGTCGAACGAGGCAAGATCGTTGAAACGGAGCAATGTATCCTTAGCGACTTGCAGTCCAAGAAGTCGATACTGTCGAGTCGCGCACACCGCAGGCTTGCGAAAGAGGCCAGGGTCGACAATCGCGTTGGTGTAGTCTGTCTCTTGTAGCACAATTATGGTCCTCTTTTGAATCTCTTTCTGCTTGTCGTCCAGCTCCGACTCCCTATCGACATGCTCTGCCTTTCGACCGTAGTACACCGTCGCCGTCTGGGTGGCTTGTCCGAATGTGTTTACACTTAGTACCAGGTTGTGCTCAATCTTTGTATCTGACGGAGAGCCTACAGCATAGTGGCGTGTAAGTGTCTCTCTTGGAACCACTCGCGAGACGCCACTACGCCCCTCCCTTGCAGCGATGATCGGGAGCACCTCGTATGCCTGCTCGGTTGCTGTGATTGCTGTCGACGATGACTTGAGTCCTTCCATGTAGGTTTCCTGCCGGTACTCCAGTCCCTTGAGAGCCCGATAAACTTCATGACACTGCTCGCTATCCAAGTCTGGAAGCAGATATGGCGTCAATGAAAGTTCTCCGGGTGCGCTGGCACTGAAGCCGGTTTCAAAATCCACGGAGCCTGTGAAAAACCAAAACCTTTCGTGAACTTGGGGCTTTTTGAACAATTTCCTATGGCCATACGCCAAATCTACATCAGTCCAGATATCAGCAATGCCGAAGCCTCGAAACTCTCTCTATGGCGTCGAAATACCCATCCCGATATGCATAAGTTTTTGTTGTCTTCGTCTGCGCGATCTCGTCGACAACGCCCAGTTGTTTGACGCAGTGGACAGGGAATGGGAGCTTGGTACTCCATGGTTGGCCCGACCTCTCGTCATCGAGGTAGTATTTGAACGAGGACTGATAAGTCACGGTGGTGACAGAGCCAAATCCGTTACTGTACCCCTTCAGTAGGTATGGCTTGTTTCCTCCTGCGAGGTCCACATACTTCATCTCCGTGACCCCTGAGACCGAATCCGCCACGCAAAGGCATGTACAACCGTTTCCTACAATATCTGAGGCAAAAACAGAGCTCCGGTAGTCGGTATTCGGAAATGCTGCAAGCAAAGCGCCGTGACTCCAACCGTTTCCTGCCAAGTTGTAGTAGATCATGGCACCTCCGTCAGCCGGGAGATAGACCAGATCTGTTGTCCCACACCCATCTGCATCCAACAGGTGCAGCCGGGAGCGGTTAAAGAGGTCTCGCGACTCAAAGAAAGGAGCATTTTTCATCAGGACTTCCTTGCCAAACCGACCGTAGCCCATGTTTGGCCAGTAGGAGACTGCACCATTCGATATCAGGACTATATCTGCCAGTCCGTCGCCTGTCATGTCGGCCAAATACGTAGAAGCCTCGTCACCTGGGTCGTTTCGTCTCCAAATGGGGCTAATGCTCTCACTCCGTGTGCTCTGAGGGGGGCCGAAGCCCTTCTTGCCTAGTGAAGGGAACCAAACAACGTCCTGAGTAAGCTCATCGACACGGAAAAGATCAGACAGCCCGTTACCTGTGAGGTCAGCCGACATGAAGTTGTCAAGGCCATCACTGATATTTGCGACCGCCTGGAAGGGCTGGAAATTTAACCAGCCAGATCCGTCTTTGCGCTCGTAAAACCCCATCATCCTCCCGTTTTCGTCCCTTGTTACAATTTGCAGCTCGCCACTACTGTTAAGATCTTGGAAGAAAAAGGTCTGGCTCGAGCCATGGAGGTTCGGCTGTGCCCCGAGAAGGACAGGGGCCGAAAACCGTAGGTTTCCGCCTTGAAGATCTTCAGATGACTGAATAGCGCTTTCATTTCGCTGATACATCCAGCCACCGCCTTGGTCCTGGTACAGGAGCCCGGGGCAGCCTTCGCAGTAGAGATCTACCCACCTTGCTTCGGATGACCAACTCCCAGCTGTGGGCACGTTTTGGAGATCGAGAGGGGTACATGATACGAGCTGGAGGCTGGAAGGACTTGGGCCGACCGTGTAATCGAACTGAAAAGGCGGCATCGACTGTCTGACCGACTGATTGTTTCCGGTTACCATGAAGCCATGGTGGGTAAAGGCCGTTAACAGAGATCCCTGCTCTGATTCGTGGTAGTCGAGTGTGATACTCGACACAATCGTATCCTGCTCACCAGTCTTATCTTGGAAGTGATGCAGGACGACGATACTGCGACACAAACGCCGGGTCCGAATTTGAAAGCCGGACGTGAAGCGTGAGAAAGGATCCTTTCTCAGCGGCCAAGTGGCCACTTCCTCTAGGCGTCCCGAATCTATGGAGTGCTCTCCGTAGTCAAAGACCACTTCGAAGACCCATTCTGAGGGTGTTACAACGAGGCCCCAGTCATCCAGGTCTCGATTTGGCTGTGTATTGCCGTATCTAACTCGCTTCAAGTACTTGTTGTTACCAGAGGTCTCGGACTGCTCACCAGCTGTGTCCTCATCCTTGTAGATGTACTCAATCGCATTCCCCTTGCTGTCGTAGCGAGACGAGATGAGCCATGAAAAGATGTGCACAACCCCGTTTGAGGACTCGAATATGCGCGAGGCCGAGTCTTGACCATACACCGCCGTGACATTGTCGCCCGAGATTACTCTCCAGTGCGTATTAGATTCATCATCACGGCACGTCCACTTCTCGATCTTGTTTGATTCTGTCTCAATTCTTTGCCGGTAGAGCTGAACCGAGAATTGCTGACCTGAGGTTTTGTCCAATCGTACGGCTGCTGCCTCTTGAGCTGCAACGAGATCGTCCTGGCCCGAGAGCACAAAGACATCGTCGGCATTGTACTTCGGCACGCACCGCGAGGCTTGCCTGGTGATGGCTTCTCCCGAGAGGCTCCAGCCAAAGCCGAAAGGGCCGTTGCCTGTGCCGGAATCATACAGGAGATTGAGTGTCGGCCCGAAATTGGAGCGACCTTGGTCGATGGGGATGGGTAGTGCCAGCGACATTGTGCCATTTACAGGATTGATGTCTAGCTTCTCGGAGATAGGCTTGAATCCGCCACCTCCTCTGCTGAATTGTTCTGTAGAAGGAATGACAGATGACTGTCTGTCAGTTCTGCCTGTGGTGGGGTCTGGATTGAACCCCGATGGCATGGTCGGTGGCTTTGACTTGGCCATTGCCGATGTGAGATCTGGTCCCCTTCCTGCGGCCGTGTTGGCCATGGGGAGCATGACGTCGCGATGGTTCACTATTGGCCAGGCCATGATGAGCCTGGGCTTCAAAGGTGCAAATGAGGCTTGCGGTATTCGGAATTACTAGCTTAAACTGTTGTTCCAAGAAGACAATGCTGTAAAGACGGGCAGCTACGTTAAATGTAAACAGCTCGTGCTGGCGGTAATGTGTCATAAGCTCGACTAAAAATGCCTACTATAGGACAGAGCAGGTCTGGATTTGTCTTAGTTTATATTAATATAAATATAATAAGGTATATATAATAGTTAGGGTTTCTAAATAGGTAAACTAGTCTATATTAGGTT